GGTTTCTATAGTCTGCTTGGATGGGGCGGAGTCTCGGGGTGGCACAGCCAAGCTTTGTTGAGTCCCGCACAATTGGTTGCAGGTGCGCACACCTCTTTGGTATAGGAGCAGACAAGCTTTATTTATTTTATTTATTTTTTTTTTTCTGCATTTATTTTATTTTTTATTTTATTTTATTTATTTTTTATTTTTTTTTAAAATAAGTTTTTATTGTTCATATTATTACAAATGTTCCTTCCCCCCACCCCCCACTATTGCTCTCCTCCACAAGGTTCCCACCCCACCCTCTGCCCTTTCCCCACTCCCCATTGTCCTCATCCATAGGTGCACAGTTTATGTTCAGTCTCTTCCCACACCCCCCTCTCCCCTTTTCCCCAAGAATCTTCAGTTCAGTCCCCTTCCATACCTCTGATTCTATTATATTCAACAGTTACTATTGTTCATCAGATTTTTTTTTTTAATTTCCTTGGTTTTTAGATTCACTTGTTGATAGTTACGTATTTGTTGTTCATAATTTTTATCTTTGTTTACTTTCTCTTCTGAAAGAACTCCCTTCAGCAACTCATATAAGTCTGGTTTGGTGTTGATGAACTCCTTTAGCTTTTTTTTATTAGTGAAGCTCTTTTTCTGACCTTCGATTCTGAGTGATAGCTTTGCTGGATAGATTATCTTTGGCTGTAGGTTCTTACTATTCATCACCTTGAATATTTCTTGCCATTCCCGTCTGGCCTGCATGGTTTCTGTTGAGAAGTCAGCTGACAATCGTATAGGTGCTCCTTTATAGGTAACTACCTTCTTTGCTCTTGCTTCTTTTAATATTCTCTCTTTGTCTTTTGCTCTTGGAATTTTAATTATGATTTGTCTTGGTGTGGTCCTCTTTGGATTCCTTTTGTTTGGAGTTCTGTGCGCTTCCTGGACTTGTAAGTCTAATTCTTTCCCCAGGTGGGGGAAGTTTTCTGTCACTATTTCTTTCAGTATGTTTTCGATATCTTGCTCTCTCTCATCTTCTGGGACCCCCATAATTCTGATGTTGGTTCGCTTGAAGTTGTCCCAGAGGTTTCTTACATTATCTTCAATTTTCTGGATTCTCTTGCCTTCTAGCTTCTGTGAAGGAGTGTCTTCTGGCTCTTTATGTTCCAAATCTTTGACTTGATTCTTGCGATTTTCCCTTCTGTTTTTAGGACTCTGTAAAATATTTTTTATTTCAGACAATGTATTCTTTATTTCTTGTTGTTCCCTTATCATTTCTTGTTGACTCCTTATTAATTCTAGTTGATTTCTTTTCATATCCTCATAGGTCTTATCCATCTTTTCTAGGAAATTCTTGAAAAACCTTATAAGCGTAGATTTGAACTCTATATCCAGCCGCTTTTTGTCCTCCATTTCTTTCGTTTGTGATCTATTTCGTTGTCGCATTTCACAGTTACAGATGGGGCGGGGTTTCAGGGTGGAGCCTGCAGCTTTGGCTTCAGTCAGCCCCGCCCTATGCGGGTCCTTCAGTGCTCCCTGCCGGCGCCTCTGAGAGAAAGGTGCCCTCGGTTTTCGCCTGCTGCCAAACAGTCAATGCTCTCCCCCAATGAGCCCGGTATTGGGGTTCAGTTCAGTTGGAAGTGGAGTTGGAGGTGGTGTTCAGAGCAGTCTGGAGCCCCTGTCTCCTTCCCGCCAGGCAATCCCGCGGCACAGCCGGCCGTCCCTTCTCTGAGCGCACTGTGCGCGCCGCTGGGACCTCCTTTCGCCGCTTCCCCCGGGGCCTCCTCTCGCGCCTCGCAGCCCAGCTCTCTCTGTGTGAGCCTGGGTCCCTGGGGTCTGGCCTAGAACTGGGGTTCAGAGCAGTCGGAACTGGGGCCCAGCACAATCGGAGTTTTATCTCCTTCCCGCTGGGGAACACCAGCCAGGCACTTGGCCGCCCTCCGGCTCCGTCCTCTCTGCGCGCTGCGTGTCTCCGTACCTTGGGCTTTTCCAGCTTCTCCGCGTTTCCTTCTGGTTTTCTCCTTGCTGCTCATTGTAGAATTTCCAGTCAGTCGACTTTCCTGTGGTTCTGGATAATGTCCATTTTATATTTTAGTTGTATTTTATTGAAATTGTTGTGTGAGGCTGCAGCTAGGTATTCACCTGGGCGCAGCCATCTTGGAGGACCAGCAGACAAGCTTTATATTCCTGTCTGCCCCTCCCTAGAGAGTCCTGTTGGCAGCGAACGAGGAAGCTAGCCACTGGAAGGGCTTCTGTGCTCCGCTTGGATGGGGCGTAGTCTCTGGTGGAGCAGACAAGCTTTATTCAGCCCCTCCCTATGAGGGTCTGGTTTCTGAGTCCCACAGTAATGGCTGCTGGCTTCACACACCTCCGAGAGATCCCTGCCCACTGCCCGACAGTCTGGCCTCTCCCTGTCTGGGGCCGTCTATCAGCGCAATAGGGTGCTTCTGTTTTCCTCCCGCACAAGAAAGCCAGCCGCACATTAGCTGTCCGCCCTCTCTGCGCGCAGGGATAAGCCGGTAGCAAACTCGGCCCGCCCTCTCGGCGCTTGGCAAGCAAGCCAGCAGCGAACTCTGCAGCCGCTTTTTTGCGCGCACAGTTTTCCGTACCTTCACAGTTCCTGAGGTTTAGCACACCTTCTCTCTCCTTCCCAGATGGTAGAGCTTCCGCTCAGCCAGCCGTCCGGCGCTTCAGGGTGATGTTTCCCCTATTTTTCAGTTCTAAATTCAAACTTGTTGTGGTAGGCTGCATTTGGGCGTCTGCCCTATGCCGCCATCTTGGTTCTTGTCCCCTTAATTCTGCAAGATAATTAAATCTCTAATGCCCTAAGAGAGTTACCAGATAAAATACACTCAATTAAATTTAAATTTCAGATAAGCAATTACTATAGTATAAGTACGTCCTAAATATTGCATGGGACATACTTATGCTAAAAATTATATTGTTTGTTACTCTACCGTGTTTCCCCGAAAATAAGACATCCTTCGAAAATAAGATCTAGCTCATGGAAAGATAAGACATCCCCTGAAAATAAGGCCTAGCGCAACTTTGGGAGAAAAAATTAATATAAGACACTGTCTTATTTTCGGGGAAACAGGGTAGTAACCCAACCCATAAGGTGTTTATTATATGTAAAAATGAGCTAATTTTTTGTACATCTAGAATGGTACTAGTATAGGAGAAGTGAGGAAATAGTCACCCAAATAGTTATGTTTGTTCTGTAGTTCAAATGAGGAGACCTGCTTGAGAAAGGTTGCTCTAGAAATGCTTCTGCAAGATGCTTAGAAGGATTGGTAATACAGTATCAACTTAATACAACTTCAGGGGTTGACATGATTTGAAGCAAGGCTGCAGCCCCTGTGAGAGCTGTTCTACTTTTGTCAAAGGCTCTGTTCAGGCTTTCATGTGTCTCTGCCTTAATTGGCAGGTAGATGCCCTCAGGGAAAATATGGCCTAAATGCTGGTCTCAGATCTTTAAATTTCTGTATAGATCTTGATCTTGTAATTTTTTCACTATCCTGTTAGCTCTCTGATGCATTCAAGCAGATTTAAAAAATTGTCCAGCTTTGACATGCTCTCCCTCCCAGGATCTCCTCCCTCTTCTTCCCCAAAAGAAGTGCATGTCCTAAACTCTAAGGGATCCCACAAGATTTGCAACCAGAATAGCAATGGGCAGCAGCAATTCGTCTGGGCAAACTCCCTGAATTTGTCCCTAAGGCCCCCTTTTTTCTGACTTCTTAGTGAGCCAAAGCAGCCCAGCCGAGGCTCATTTCTTTTTTTAAATATTTCAGAGAGGGAGGAGAGGGAAAGGGAGATAGAAACATCAACAATGAGAGAGAATCATTAGCTGCTTCCTGCACGCCCCACACTGGGAATTGAACCTGTAACCTGGGCATATGCCCTGACCAGGAATTAAACTGTGATTTCCCGGTTCATAGGTTGATGCTCAACCACATATCCTGGCCAGGTGTCTAGGCTCATTTTAATACTTAGTCCCTCTCCTGTTATCCCAGGCCCTTTTTGTTTCACTGTCTCTTGCTTTAATAAAGGTTCTCTTTAAAAAAAAAAAAAAAAAAAAAAAGGAAGAAAGAAAGAAAAAAAATTGTCCAGCTTCCCAGTTGCCTTCACCAGGAGAGTTGGCCTAAATTACTTAGTCTGCAATCACTGAAGCAATGTATAATTTTAAAACAGCAGGAGCAGCTCAGGGGAAGTGTCATAGTTGAACCTGGCATTAGGATCTGTTTGAATGGCACAAAATATTCCTTTAGGAAGGAAAGAGAGCATATATTTTATACCTAATTCCTTAAAATATATATGATCTGAAGAAAAATATAAAATTAACATTTTATATTTAAAATATATAAAATTAATATTTTAAAATACCTTAGGGATTTTTACATATTTTGAGAATAACAATCAGGAAAAACTATTAACCACTTTAATGTCTTAGGTAATATGATCTGATTACTTGATAGAATCAGAAATGAGATGAACGTGTTATTGAATGGTTATTATTGAAACCAAAAGTTTGGTTGCTGTTTTCTGACTCACCTAAGCATTAAGACATTTTAAAAGTATGCTAAAAATAACTGTAAAGTAAACAGATGAATTTGAGAATTGGTGTCTTTGTATTGTGCCTGGCACTTCATGTTTCTGTTAACCATCTAAGAAACACACCACCACCCACATTCTGTTATACATTAATGCACATCAGAATCTATCTCTATGTGATTTTTTCTAAAGTTTGCATTTACTATAACTTTCACAGTTTAGTTAATTATGTCCTTAATTTATGTCCCTAAATAATGTAACTGTAGTACACAACTCATTTCCAAACCTGCAGCATTTGAGCTGACCTAAATTTTTTTTTGTATTTTTTTCTCCATAGAGAACATTTAGTGTATGTTTTGATGATCAAATCTTTGTGGTATAGTCATAAAAGAAACTGTTAAACTTATTTTAATGTACTAGCTTTAATAAAAACTATTCTAAGCATGTCTTAAGTTTGTATTTCTGAAAATTTTTTGAAGAGTTGTGAAGTTGCAACTGCCCTGGAAAACCAAAGTCACAAGGTTCGGTATTCAGCTTCAGTGGAAAATGGATCAATTATATTTTCTCGTACTGGTACAGTATATTTGCTAATGGCCTTGATTTAAGTTTTTTTTTTTTTTTTTATAAAATATGTAAGTATAAATTCAAATAATTTGGTAGTTCATTAACCAAGTAATAAGCTTAAGGTGTTATCTTTTGGGAGAAGTTAATGTATAAAACTTGGTTACCGCTGCAAAAGCAGCACATCTAGCCAATTACAAAATATATTTCTTTTTAAGATTACAATTGTAGAACTAAAGCTGAACCAGTGGAGTCTGGTAGAGGATGGTAAAAACTATTTGTTTTGGAACTAAGATGAAAATAGAACAAAGCCACTTCCCCAAAAATCAATACTTGTATTACCCATAGTAACAAAAAAGCCAGTATCATAGCCGAGACCGGTTTGGCTCAATGGCTAGAGCGTTGGCTTGGGGACTGAAGGGTCCCGGGTTCGATTCCGGTCAAGGGCATGTACCTTGGTTGCGGGCATATCCCCAGTAGGGGGTGTGCAAGAGGCAGCTGATCGATGACTCTCTATCATCGATGTTTCTAACTCTCTATCTCTCTCCCTTCTTCTCTGTACAAAATCAATAAAATATATTTTAAAAAATCACAATATAGGTCAAAATCTATACACAAAAAACAATAGAGAGTATTTTTCATAATTTTGTATAAGATTTTGCTGAATATAAACAAATAACTAAAATAATAAAATGGACACATACAAATGCTCCTTAAATCATAATATCATATAACTGTGAGTCATGAGCAAAGTGCTAGAGGAATTAGATTCGGATATGAGAAGGCTGGGGACATGGGAAGTAGATAGCTCTTTTTGTGCTTGGGAAACAACCTACACTAATAAAAGAGAAAGAAGCAAGTTGACCATACCTCTGCGATGCCCACCAGCCAATCAGGAGTGAGTATGAATAGTAACCTGGCAAAGATGGTGGGTTAATTTGCATATGCAGGTGCTGAGCAGCCTGGGTCCCAGGAACATCCTTGGGACCCAGGCCGCTCCTAACCTGTAGGCCCACATGTAGGCTCTGAGCAGCCAGGGTTCCAGAACACCCCCGGCCACTCTGGGCCTATGGGTGCAGGTGCCAAATGGCGTGCATCAGCACCAAGTGGCCTGGGTCCATGCCCCCAGTCTGGCGGACACAATGTGGGGCTGCCGGCCTTGAGGCCATGCCCCCAGCCCAGTGCACACAATGCAAGGAGTCCTCTGTGCATGAGCTGCAGAGAAGAGACCTTTCCTTTTTTTTTTTTTTTAAATATATTTTATTGATTTTTTACAGAGAGGAAGAGAGAGGGATAGAGAGTTAGAAACATCGACGAGAGAGAATCATCGATCAGCTGCCTCTTGCACACCCCCTACTGGGGATGTGCCCGCAACCAATGTACATGCCCGTGGCCGGAATCGAACCTGGAACCTTTCAGTCCGCAGATCAACGCTCTACCACTGAGCCAAACCGGCTTCGGCGACCTTTCCTTTTTTAAAAAAAAAATATTTTTATTGATTTCTTACAGAGAAGTGGGGAGAGAGATAAACAGTCAGAAACATTGATGAGAAAGAAACATTCATCAGCTGCCTCTTGTACACTCCCCACTGGGATGTGCCCCCAACCAAGGTACATGCCCTTAATAGGAATCAAACCTGGGACCCTTCTATCTGCAGGCTGATGCTCTATCCACTGAGCCAAACCAATTCCAGTGTAAACACCTTTTCTGACGGCTCATTGGCTAAGCTCCCTGTATGCCGCCACTTGCAGTGTTCTTGGTAACTTAGGTAATAAGAGTCCAAGAAGGTGATCTACGGCAGTGGTTGGCAAACTGTGGCTCTGGCTTCCACGCCACAGTTTGCCATTCTATTGACTAATGAGTTTGCTGACCACTGCTAGACTAAATGATACTGTGTAGTTGGAAGCTGTGAGGATTAGGCAGTTGTGGCATATTGTGTACAAAGAGGTAAAAGGTGGTATATAACAGTGGTTGGCAAACTTGTTAGTCAACAGAGCAGCAAAACACGGCTCACAAGCTGCAGGTGGCTCATGAGCTGCAGTTTGCCGATCACTGCTCTAGGGTTTTTCCACCTCACTCCTAGAGGAAAAAAAACAAAGGTCCACTGCTGGAGGGGCTAAGAAATGTCATATCTTACCCTAGCCAGTTTTGCTCAGTGGATAGAGCCTCAGCCTGCCAACTGCATTCTGATCAAGGGCATGTACCTAGGTTACAGGCTCCTCCCTGGCCAGGGCCCAGGTCAAGGCTCATGCAGGAGGCAACCAATGAGTGTCCCTCTCACATTGATGTTTCTCTCTGTCTCTCCCTCTCTCTCTTCCACACTTGCTAAAAATCAATGGAAAGATATCCTCAGGTGAGGATAAAAAAAAAATGTTATATCCTAAAGGAAGTTATTTTTTCATGGTGAAGGGAGTCCGTGTTGATGAAAACACCTTGGTGGCTGCACCAGTGGGGTGATGGGGCTGGCATCTTCCCCTGATCAGCCCAGTTGCCTTCCGAATAGGGAGGCCAGACTGCAGCTGAGGCCCGCTCCCCACAGGGATCGGGCCTCAGCTATCAGTAGGACATTCCCTGAGGGCTCCCAGTCTGTGAGAGGAGGCAGGCTGGGCTGAGGGACAGTGCATGAATTTCATGCACCAAGCCCCTAATTAGAATAAGAAGAGGTGGAGGTGATTTTATTAGAAGGATTGCAAATAGGACCTGTACTCTAGCAGAAGGTTTGGAAGACAGGTGCTTTCAAAAGCTCCTGGAAATAGACCGCCAGGATGAAACTAATTAGTACCACCTTAAAGGCCTCAAGGGAGAAGTAAAATATTTTTAAATGTGTGTCTTTACCACTTTATATACATTATCTAACTTTTAATCCGTTCAACAAATCTATTGAAGAACTATTATTACAATCTTACAGATGAGGCAATTTAGTTTCAGAGAGGTTAGTTATATAAATTGACCAAGTTCCTCAATTAGCATGATCAATTTCCTTACATATTTCTTAAAGAACTAATTTTATCATCTTTTAAAAGCTAATTAGATCAAGTTTTTATTTGGAACCCTTTTAATAGGGCTCATACTATTTCAGAGATCTTAGGAACCTGCTTACTGAGTATTAATTTATATACACAATAGTTTCAAGATTTCTCCAATAAATAATTGGCTTGCTTAAAACTATCTTTCTTGATTTCCAGCTTTTAAAGTCATTATGGGGAACATAGAAAGAAAAAAAAGGGAGACATCTGTAGTACTCTAAACAATATTTTATAAATATCATTATAACTTGGAAAGTTAACTTTTAAGTAAAATTAGGTATTATCCTCATTGTGCCTTTGTCTGAAAAATATTTTTCCCCCTTTAAATATTTAGAGTAAGTCATCCTTTTATACTGAGCACTTCAGAGAACCACCTAAATTGTTTTGTTAAGAATTTTGTTATAGTGATTTCTACTTCTTATGGTTTAGGACCTAGACACTTATAGGTATGTTATACCTACAGCTATTTTTGTTGATTTTACTGAGGTGGTTTTTATTACATTTTTTAAAATTTTTAATGATGAAGTGACATTCACCTTTCCTAGGAGTTGCATTTTTATTGATGGACGCTAAAGAATGCTTTATGTCAGCTGAAGAAGTATTTTTAGCCAAAATTGAGAAGTTTATTAACATTCACCAAAATAGTTTTTTGGTTCTGTCTGCTGCCCTCCATGGACTTGAGGAATGGAAACTGATGTTCAGGATTCAGCAGAGGTATGGAAGAAGAACACCACATTTATTTTTGTTAAATTATATTGTGTTTACCTGTTCTTGATTCTTTTAGGCAGCTGTGTTATGTTTTCCCCAAAGATAAACTTTATAATGTTAACCTGTCATATTTGATAAAATGCAGGCCACATGGCTATTGTATGAATCAAGGTGACAAGTTTCAGAGTTCATGCTGATTTCTGGGATTCTTCTGCAAGATCAAACCCAAAGTAAACACTTTTTATTCATTAAAGTTCAGACTACAAAGCCATATCAGTTCCTCTGTGAAATAAGGCAGGGCCTGAATGAGTAAACAAAAGAGAGGCAGTAAGAGGTTTGTCTCTTTTTCCACTTAACACCTTGCTGACCGGTCATGAGATAACTTGTCCCCATGTCTGGACATTGGTCATGAGATATCTCATGTCTGCACTTCCATTAATTTAAGTAATTTTAAAACTCTATATTGCTTTCAGACCTTAAAATTACTTAATGTAAGTGCAAACACAAGTTATCTCGTGACCAGTCAGCAAGGTGTTAAGATAGCAGATGGTATAAAAAGTCATAAGATTTGTTGAACTTATGAATTGTTTTTCAGATTCCTGGGTAGTAACTTACGGATACTTCCAGTACACAACACAGTAAATGCTATTGATCTTATGTGCACTATAGCTAAGGTGAGTTTTTACCTAACGAAAAAATGACACTTACATACACACAGTCATATACTTTGTTCTTGACTTCAAATGCATCCCCTCTTGAGCATACTCTGCTTTAGTTCCCCTCAGAGCAGCTGCTATTTCAGTGTGCAACCCTTCCCCATGCCTGAACTCAGCCTCTCAAATCTTTTCAATTTATTTCTGGTAGCTAAGAATGTCTCTTTTGGGCCAAAACAGTATTTGGTCATATAAGGGTTGGCCATATTGGTTAAATTTTTCATCAAATTCTAAAGTGTAAATATTGGTTAGGTTGTAGTTTTCAAGAGTGCAAACATACATTTCATGCTTATCCTCCTGTGTGAAGTGTGCCCTCAACTCCTCTATCAGTTAGGTGTTCCTAACCCTTACACCTGGGAGAGAACTCCATTAAAGCAGTTCTTACAGCAGTCTACTTTTTGGCTTGCATGTTTGAAATTCTTTAAAGACAGAGACCAGGTATCTATTATTCTAATGAGTCATATGTTGTGTTGAGCAAACAGAAAGTGATCAATACTTGAATATAAATAATGTTGCATATTTTTATCTTTTTCCAGATTACCTCCAAACCATACATAGATAGCATCTGCTACAGAATGATAACAACTAAAGCTTACATCATTGAGCAAAGTCCTGTTTGGAAAACACTTCAACAGATAAATCTCAGTGACTCATTTAACCCAAATTAGAGTATCAATTATAAATTTTCTTTTGGAAGATTATTAAATAATTAGACTGGTTGAATTATAATGTTCAAATATATATTTACTTCAAAGACTTAAAAATTTTAAAATAATAAAATATATACAATTAAAAGATTTTATTTTCAGGAGTTTTGTTGAATAATGTTCTCACAAAAAATTGGAGTGATAATTCAGTTTATCACTAGGAGTTCTAAAATGTAACACAGATTCAAACTGGAACATAAAGTGCATCAGCATTTTTATAAACGCATTACAACTATACCAATGAAGGCAATTCAACTATATTTTATAAACTTATAATACAAAATTATTAATTTGTATTGAATTTTTACAGTAGCATTTATTATATATGGACATTCTTTATCATGGAGATTATCTTTTTTAAACCAAATGCTATTCATCCATAATGTGCCATTACAGAAACAGATGAAAAAGGCTGCATTTATTTTTCTACTGATGTGTTTTTTTCTATTGGTGTTTTACAGAAAAAAATTTGTGAAGGTATTAAATCATATTTTTTTTACTAGTTGTTAGGAGATGGAGCTTTCACTTTATCCCAGTATTTTCTTCAGAGGTACACTTTGTTTTTATCTCAATGAGTTCTTCTACTCGAGCCAGAACACTTTCAATCAAATCAAATGTGAAAAGTGCTGAATGTAGGACCTACAATGCCAAGAAATTTTAGAGTCATTAAGTATGCATTAAAACAAAGCAAAGTAAAAAAAGAAAAGACTTCAAGTGGATGTAGCTTAGAAAATTTTCAGATCTACCTTAAGCTGCATTTCGGGAGGCATATTAGGCATCTCTTCTCCACCTACGGTTACAGAACAAAAATCTTTAGACCTCTGTACTTCTGTAAGAGAAAAAAAATTTTGTGTCATGTTTTTAATCTTAAAACAACTCTCAGATCTCAGTAATAAGTTAAGTAAGCTTTCATCATTCCATTTAAAATATGTCCTTTATTTATATAAATTAAGTCTTAATGTTTAATATCTCAGGGTATGCTTAAATCAAGCAATTAGCAAATAAAAATATCAAAATTCTAACATGTTTATTTAAGTGACTAGCATTATTTTGGCATGTATAGGATGAATTAAAACTTATAAATTTGGTGGGGGGGAATAAATGGATGGTGGAACAAACAATAACAAAAGAAATACAATGATATTCAAACAAAAATACCTGTAATACAGTTAGATTCCTAATTAGGACTTGAGATTTTAAAACCAGAATATGTTTCAGTTTGGTTTAAATCTTTGTTAATCCAATTTCAGTGTTAACTGGCTTATAGATCTGCTAAGAATAATTTTAATTATAAATAAAATGACTTAGCTGTCATGGTTCCTTGTTTGCTATAAATTAGTCAAGTATAAGATTAAGAAGTTCTTTATTTTTAATATAAATTGCAGTTTAAAAAAATGACTATTTTATTGTTAGACCTAAGCAAAAATGAAATTGCACATTACCAACCTTGGCTATTTTCTTGGCTATTTTTAATTTCTGCTTCATAATGTGCTTTTGACATATTAAGTCCTGTATGGAGTGGCTTTAAGAAATTTTTCTCAATCTTTCCAAGTTCTGTCCATAATCCAGTCTGTTCAGAAGAATTGATGAAAGAATTAGATATAAGGTTCGAAATTTACTGATTCATATTATTAAATACTAGAGGCCTGGTGCATGAAATTCAGGGGCTAAGCCCAGCCTGCACCCTCTCACAACCCAGGACTTCTGGCACTTAACTGCTCACCTGCCTGCCTGCCTGCCTGATCAACCTAATCACTCTGCCTGCCTACCTGATTACCCTAACTGCTCACCTGCCTGATTGCCCCTAACCACTGCTGCATCAGCTTCATCTGGAAGGCCATTCAACAGTCTGGTCTAACTCTGCCTGACTACCTGATTGCCCATAACTACTCACCTACCTGCCTGATTGCCCCTAACCTCTCGCCTGCCTGCCTGATTATATCTAACTGCCTCTGTCTGCCTGCTAGATTGCCCCTAACCACTTGCCTGCCTGCCTGATCGTCCCTAACTGCCTATGCCTCAGCTCCTGCCGCCGCAGCTTGGTCTGGAATAACATCTGGAAGGTCGTTTGGCTGTCTGGTCTATTAGCATATTATGCTTTTATTATTATAGATATGTTTGAGAGTTGGAGAAACAAGTATTAATCACATGATTCTTGCCTTTCAAGGTAGAGTTTACTGTTTAATAACACATTGATTATTACATCTGGTATTTTATGTGACTACCAATCAAAACAAAACTTTTGGTTAGTACACTCACTGATGTGCCATTTGGGCAGTTTTTTGGTTCTGAGATCAGTAACTTACATGTTTTATCCATGAGAAAGTTACTTGAGGACAATACACATGTCTAAGACATTTCTCTTTCCTATAAACATTCCCACAATGACCTACCTTATATATCCCATCAACTCTTGATCTTACAATTGATACCCTGGTCACAGATCTAGTTCTAGAAGATTCTTTCCTTTCCTTGTTGATGGAAACTTTTCTAACACAGAGCTGATATGGACAATCTTCATGTTAAGTGCAGATGGAGATTTTACCTGCCTACAACAGCTTAGGTTTATTTGCTATTACATATTAGATTTATTGTAAGAGCATTTCTTCCCATAGTACTAAAGGTGGAGAATCATAAAGTTCATGGCATTATTACATTTCCAGGCACTCTTCACAAAGGAAAATATCTTAGACAAAAAGGTAAACAAAAAGGAAACCTGGGAAGTTCTGATCAAGATGGTAGCATAGGTAAACACAGTACTTGAATCACACAACTATATCAAAATTACAACTGAATTACAGAACAACTATTCAGAACTGCCTGAGTTCTAGCTGAATAGAAGTCCTACAATTAAGATTATAAATAAGAAGCTGCAGTAAGACTGGTAGGAGGGGTGGAAAATTGGAACGGGCTGGTCCCACACCAATATGTAGCAGAGAAAAATTGGGAGGGATGTCTTGGCTGCAGAGGTGCTCCATGGGTAGCGAGGAGTCCCATACCCACACCAGGTCCCCTCGCCTCTCTCCCAGGCCAGGGTTCTAATGCCAGGAAAAGAAGTCCCCTTAACCTCTGGTTATAGATACCTGCAGGGATTATAGTGAGTGAGATGGAAAGGCTGTTGGAGTCCCAGGTGTTTCTCTTAAAGGGCCTGTGCATGAACTCTGTGGACTCAGTGGCTCTAAGTTCCAGTACTGGGGCAGCAGCTGGAAAGGGCCGGGGACATACAAGAGGAACTTAATTGTCTGGCGTAAGGGCAAGAGCTGAGGGGAGGCAGCATTCTTCCAGATAAAAGTGCCGGCAGAGGCCATTATTCCTTTTCTGAGCCCTTCCCCCTCAGAAACAAGTAGGCACCATTAACCTGGCTCACACTGTTTGCCTTACCCTGATAATTCCGAGACCCTTCTTCACCCAACTTGTGGGCCTACGCAACTTGTTTCCAGTGGCTTTTCCATAAAGACAGGCTGTCTTGGCTCATTCTTCAATTTCCTAAAATCTCTCAAAGCAGCATCTGCCCTCAGTATGCCCTATACCACTTGTTAAGTGCTCCCAAGCCTGGCACTAGGGGCAGTGGCCTTGGTTAGTAGCTTGGCTTATCGTGGGTCCAACACAAACAGAAGCCATTTGCAGATCCTTTGTAGCTCTTGCTGTGTAGTCCTGGGAAGGACATAGGTGGTGGCTGACCTTGGTCTGCACCTCCCAAGATGCCGAGAGCCATCTTCTTAACAATACACTCAAGAGGCAGATTCAGTGGGCACTGCTGCATAGCTGATCCTCCACAATGATTGTAGCCAATAAGCTTGGGGATAAATCCCTCCCATTGATGTGCCAACAGCAATCAAGACTCAACTATAAAGAAGGGTGTACACAGTCCATATGGGAAGGGGTGCACCTGGAGTGTCCAACTCGGGTAATCAGGGTCTCTGTGCCACTGGACCCTACTGGACAACTACTATGTAATGCCACTCTACCAAGCCCTAGAGATAGAGCAACTCTTATACATAGAAACCAACACAGGGAGACTGGCAAAATGAGGAGATAAACATTTCCTAAACGAAAGAACAGAACAAAACGCCAGAGAAAGAACTAAACAGAATGGAGATAAGCAATCTACCAGAGGAAGAATTCAAAACACTGTATAATAATGCTCAATGAGCTTACTCTCTTAGAGAGTTCATTTAAGTTCATCTCACTAAGAATAGGTGAACTTAGTGAGAATATCAATGAAGAGATAGGAAACATAAAAATGAAACTAACTAGTAAACATAAAATAACCAATCAGAAACAAAGCATACATTAACTGAAATGAAGAATATATTATAGGAAATCAACAGTAGAGTATATGTAGCAGAGTAGCAAATCAGAGATTTGGAAGATAAGAAAGCAGAAAACACCCAATTAGAACAAGAAAAAAAAAAATCCCCCCAAATGAGGATCATGTCAAGAGCCTCTGGGACAACTTCAAGTGTACCAACATTTGCCTTATAGGGGTGCAGAAAGAAGAGATCAAGGAATTGAAAACCTATGTGAAAAAATAATGATGGAAAACTTCTCTAACCTGGTGAAGGAAACAGACATACAAGTACAGGAAACACAGAATCTTAAATAAGATGAACTCAAAGAGGCCCATACCAAGACACATCATAATTAAAATAGACAAAGGTTAAAGATAAAGAATCTTAAAGCAGCAACAGAAAAGCAGTTACCTAGAAGAGAGCCTCCATATGATGGTCTGCTGATTTCTCAACAGAAACTTTGCAGGCCAAAAGGGATTAACAAGAAATATTCAAAGTGATGAAAAGCAAAGATCTATACCCAAGATTACTCAACCCAGCAAAGCTATCATTTAGAACCAAAGAACAGATAAAAAGTTACCCAGACAAGAAAAAGCTAAAGGAACTCACCACCACAAAACTAGTATTAGAAAAAATGTTAAAGGTTTTCTTTAAGATGGAATAGGGTTT